GCTGGCGATCGGTATTGTCCTCATTTCCTGGGCACCGCGGTGTATCTGGCATTTCCTGCCTGCCCCTCTGCTGGCCAGCCTAGATTCCATCCGTTCAGAGAAGGTCATGGGCCAGACAAGCAGGGTCTCTACACCGGGTGATGACGGCCTGGGTTGGTGTGTCAAGCTTGGCCAAACCCCCCCCCCCCCCCCCCCCCCCCCCCCCCACGGTAAACTAATAGCAGACGCTACGTACACGTACCGGTACGTAGCTTAATTATGCCGGGAACGAATGGACCTTCTTGGACACCATGCGGCGGCAGATGGGGTTGCCCGCAACTAAAAGTATCCAGTTCAACCGAACGCGGGAGCCAGCACACACATTCTGGACACCGGCCATGGTATGGTCATGGCTTTGTCGCAAGAAAGCTCAAACCCCGGCTCCCTAGTCCCGGCCCCAGAGAATCCAACGTGCTCAGATGCCAGGGATACATGATACCCTGTGTATATGTACAGTACGTACCCAGCAGCAGCGTAGTTTATACTACACTAGCTCGGAGATGATGGGGGGTCCCCTGGTGGGAGAGGGGGCAAAGGCATTTGCTTCGACAGAAGGAAGGAAGGTACCCGACCGGTGCCCCTCTCCAAACCAAAGCCATGGGTCCAGCACCTTGGGCGTTTTCAGCGACTGTTTGACTGGGGGCGCAATCGTGGTGTTCTTCACAGTGGAGCGGCCGGGACCAGGTATGGTTGGGGCTGCTGGAGTCCAGTCCCTCCGTTCTGTCAGCGTCTCATGGTCTCCAACCGTCACATCGTCTCTTCCGTCAAGGCCGAGAGGAAACTGGGACCATAATTAATGAAGGGGCTTCCTGCAGCGACCGCGTCATAGGAGGATAGGACGGGTGGAATCGAGACAATCCTTATCCACGCAATGTAGTGCATGTGCGAGCAAGCGGGATTACACGTACAAGACGACGGCAAGACGGTGATGTGCTGTTTGAGGAGGGAAGAGCGTGTGGTTGCTCGACCTACTCCAAGCCGAAAGTTCCTTTATTGTTTTCCAGGACCGGCTCGAACAGCCTACGACGGTGCGGGCACTGGCATTGCAGCTCGGCATCTGAATCGAAGGCTGGAGCAGAACCAAAGTATCTATCTGGGTTGGTGGACAACAAGTCTTGGGCGGCGGGCCATGACTCGTCGCAGGAACAAGGCCACTGCTGCGTAGCTGCCTCCTCTGCGATCCAGACACGGAAATTCACGATGAGATATCTTTGAGGAACGAAACGGGGCCTCAGACTACTGACTGGCATCTATTTGTGGATGTGTGGATGTGGCACCAGGAATGTCCAAGAAAAGTACTGGTTACCTTGTCTTGGCACGCCCTGGAGGTCGGCATGGCGAAAATCGGCCGATATCTAAGTAGAAGGCACATACACCTGGCGACGGAACATGGAGCTCAGCGATCCCAGCGAATGCGAAGGTCAGGAGGGATGGGCAGGCACTTGCAATGTGGAATGGGGTGTGGGTGGTGTGGTGTGCGGGAGGGGGAAGGAAAGGAACAAGAAAAAAATGAAGGGGTGGGTGTGTGTGTGGATGTGGGAACGCAACGTCGATGTGGTAGTGAAAGGGCTGATTTTTCCGAGCCTCTGTGCTTCTGCATATGATTCTGCCGCCACTCCCTTCCCCCCTCCTTCACCCGTCAGCACGCTAACGATCTTAGTCTCACTCAACCCTATACCGGCTACCGCCGCCGCTAGGTAGGTAGATGACCCAGCCATCACTGTTACGACTACCGCTGCTTAATGCTACCTCGACGACTCATCGTTGCTCGGCTCTAGGTATTGTCTTTCTCGTCCAGGCGAAAAGCCAAACACACACACGCCCCCCCCCCTTTTCCCAGTCGTTTCGGTCTGTCAGGATGCCCCTGTCTTCAGGTACGGGCGACGCCAACGTCAACTAAGAGATTCAATGGACAAGATGCAAAACCCCACATTGCTTACTAGCCGCTCTTCGCCCCCACCCCACATCTTCGCTCATCCCGCCTGCACATTTCTTCTCGGCCCCACGAGACATGGTTGACGTGACGCTTCTGCGGATGCGACTCACCAAACCAACGCGGCGCTCACTCGCAGATGCTGCCATCCATTCGCTCTCGAGCCACCACCCGCACGCACGCGGAACACCACTGCGGTACCTCCCTAGTGTACTTCATCACCATGATACTCCTATATCGACCGGCACTACATTACCTGCTCTGCTCTGCCCATTACGGATACTCTACTCCGTACACTAAAAGCAGGCGTCTTACCACCGTCACCGCTCGGGGATCTGGTACCCAACTACTGCGCCATCTCCCGCAACGCTCCCCAGTAGCCATGACCAGGAAACCCATTCACAGCCACTGTTGCGTTCCACTTGCTTTTCTTTTCTGTCCCATTTTGCTATGTACCGCACAAGTTTCTTGATGCCCTCCTCCGCCGTCGCCCTCCCTGCCTTGCTTAACGGAGCCTGCTCGGCTTCTGGCTCTTGGTTTCGGTATCCCAGGCACATCAGGGCACATTATGCCGACGCCCCCCCCCCCCCCCCCCCCCCTTTTCAGCCGTCCTGCAAAGCTTTGTGTTCCATGCACCACCTCCGGATGCGGTGCCATGTTTCCCCAACTTGGACTCCCAAGAAAGGCGGCCTACGGTTCACCTGCCATGCTTGGCCTTTACACTGAGGTTACAGGAGCTTCGGATTAACACCCCAGCCAAGTTGGGCTCAGGACCATGTTTCTGAAGCTGCAGTCGCCTGACCATTGACTAGACCAGACCAGACCAGACCAGCACTCTCGGAACTCAGAACCTGACCCCACTGCCTAAGTTGGTCACGGCGGAACACAGCAAAAACCCGCTCCAGGTTGCTTGCCCATGACTGGAAGCTGCAGGGCCGGGGTACGACTCGCTGCATGCCATCGCTTCCGTCTCAGGCGGTCCATTGTTTTGCCACCAGGCACCGCCCATTGCCCACCGCCGCCTTGACGTCCAACTTTCTCCTGGAAAATCGCTTGACAGACATTAACCATCCATCCCTTTCTCCCGTCAGGGGCCAGTACCCTGTAGCACCGCTTACCATTGATCATTGACCCATCCACGATCCCTCGCCGCAGCCTGCCTGCCTTCCACCTGCATCCCCGAATCGATACATTGTCCATCCTTCTTAATGATGCATCTGCGCTTCGCCCCTCACTGGATCCCTCACATAAGCCGCCTCAACCTAGGCTATGTCCAGGGAGCGCCAGGGAGCGGCTTCCTTTGTCGGTCCATCAAACGATGCGGTGCACTACTCATATCTCGTGCCTCACCTTGCGTCCCCTTGGAATCGCCCCGAAATGATGACGGAACCGTTTGCAATCGTCCTGATCGCTGCTGGGAACCATGAGGGAGTGGTGGCCTGGTGGGTCATCGATCGACTCACAACTACATATGGCTCACCGTCGGCCGCAGCCAAACTGCACCGCATGCTGGAAGTGGGGTTTTTTTTGGCGCCTCATTTGCGAGCATGACATGGACGTGAAGGTGTTTGCTCGGTTGACACCCAAGAGCAGAACGACATGCAACCCCGCCCATCCGCCAGAGCTCGACTGACAATCCCGTATACCCGGCGACTGATGGACGCAACAGATGCAACATTTGGGCCGTTGAGTCCGATCATTATGACTCGCTTGCCGGTTCCATCACCAGGCGTACTAACCCCATTACAGCAAAATCAGTCGTCACTGTTAAGACGTTCCTCTGGCTGGACAGGAACAAGCAACCGAACCTGGCGATGGGGAAAGAAATTAAGGAAAGAAGATGACCAAACCCAGCCCCCACGGGGCATCCAAGGCAAAACGCAAGGCGCTTGAGTCGCCGCATCTGATGGTGGTCAGGCCATTTCGACGTCGTTTGACCAGCCCCAAGCTTCAATCTCGAACCAAGTGTTTCCCCGTTGCCAGATCCATGCCTCGTACGTAGTTGGAGCCTCTTTGGAGTCGCACAAAGATGCTACGCCGCCCCTCTCCCTCCTGTCTTCGACCACATTAGCTCTGCTCCATTGCGGTTTCCTCGGCTTTGCGTCTTGCCTACTGTACCCATTCTGCCGCCGAGTTGCGAGGGCGGAATGCGCGCGGCTGTTGCCCAAGAGACCAGGTGGACTCTGGCGGTCAGTACATCGTCAACGCCGCCACGATATCATACATACAACCGCGAGCCTCGGGAATCGCTACTTCGTAGCGACAGCTGCGGCTGCTGGGATTCCCGCGACGAGCTTGGTTGAGTCATGGCACGCGTTCTGAATACCGTGACGCGAGGCTCCAAAGTCTCTTCCCCGCTCCTCTCTCTCTCTCTCTCTCTCTCTCTCTCTCTCTGTGTGTGCTTGCTATCTCAATACCATATGTCTCGGGGCCGCTATCAGCTGCATCAGGCCATATGCAGCCCGCGTGAGGTGCTCTTCAAGCTGCATCGAGGCATCGGCACGCATCTATGCGGGCAGGTTTGCTTGAACACGAGTGGTGATGCAACGAGGGGCGAAGGCACGCCACATTGCTACGCGACCGCTGCGAGCGCCATGATTTGTCTCGACGCCAATGGCACTGACACCAATATCTGCTTAACCGGGCTTGACTTGACTTACCTACTTCGTAACAGGTTCCCTCCTGCCTGCCCACACCGTGTGTACACACACCGCCTCTTTCAACCCCACCGAAAGACCCTCCATCTTTCTTCTCCCTCCCCCTCCCTCCCCTTCCGCAAGTTTTGCAACAGGCACACGGCCTGCCGACAGTCGAACCATCGGTCCGTCTGGCGGGCCACATTCGGCCTTCTTCACCCTGCTCTCCAGCTCGCCTGTCGGGTAAAAACCGAACCCTGACGATTGCGGGCACTGTGCCCACTTTGGCCTGCCCGTTTCTAGTCGACCGGCCGAAGCATCCATCCCAGATACGGCACCGGGGGAGGCGACCCGGAGTGTCCGCGACGAAGGCTAACGCCTGGCCTGATCCGTTACGGCGGCCCACCACCAGCGCGACGCACCATCTCATCTCCCAGTTCGTCAAACCCCTCTCGCTGGACCTTGAGCGTGGCCAGCTGCACGGCGAAGTCCAGCTTGTCGGCCGTGTCCCAAGTGTCGGTCTGGCAAATCAGGCCGTAGAGCATGCCCGCGACAAACGTGTCTCCCGCTCCCACAGAGCTAGCCTGTCGTTAGCCGAACACACTCTGCAGAACGGTTTCTCGATGCGGCGGCATGGCCAGCGGGGAGACCCCTTACTCGACGACTTGTGTGACCGGCGTCTGCACCGGGCTTACGAACAGTTGTTGGTCTTTGAGGGTCAGGCACGCCGCTCCCTCGGAACCCCAGGTGCTCATGGCCAACCATCTACCCGCGTCGCAGTCAGCCAACGTCCGTCGAGAGAGAGGCTTCCCGGTACCAACTCACGCTCGCGGTAGGCTTTCGCCTCTCAGGCAGCCTTCAGCAGAGGTGTAGCCGCAATCCTGAGAGGGTTCCCGGTTAGCATTCGTACTCACAACGGCCATTGGCGGCGGGCGGGCGGGTGAGCGGACAGGCAGCGCACCTCGGCCCAACTCTTGGAGTAGAAGACCACTTCCGCCTCGGCGGCAAGCCCTCGCAGCCCCGGCCGCCCGGGCTTCTCGACTTCGACGCTAACGGTCACGTCGTCCAGCACCTGCCTCAGCAGGCGAATGCACTCTAGAGTCGTCTCTGGTGTCCGGCCCTCGAAATGCCACCACGTCCGCCCGAGACCCTGGAAGGCCTCGGCGACACGTCGAAACTCCGGCACCGTCATCTCGGGGAGCTCGTTGTGGTTGACAATGGTGCGGCTGCCAGTTGCCTCGCTGCGGATGACGTAACTACTCGCCGGCGCCTGGTGGCCCTCGCGGAATAGGCAGTGGTCGAAGTCGATCGCGGGCGTTCCGTCCTCCGTCCGTGATGCACCACCGGCTGTCGAGCGGAGTGAGGCAATGATCTGCGCCGTTGCCTGCGACTGGCGCTCAGGCAAAGGGGAGACTAGATGCATTTGCAGGGACGTCGGAGATGAGGACACGGGCAAGTCACTGACGAGGAGCTGCTGGAGGACTTCCAACGTGTTGGGGCAATTGCCTCCCCGGCGGACGCGCAGGTTGGTGGCTCGTAATTTCGAGTCCTCTTCTGGGAAGTGAGGGACGCTGGCGCAGGCGATCGGTCAGTCGGGAAGTTTTCTTGACAAGACGGGCCGAGCAGGCCGAGAGGGAGGCGGAAGGCTGCCTTACCTCAAGACCGTGTCGACATAGCACGCCCCGACAACGATGAGGTGATCCATCGCGATGCTGCGGTGTTACGGGTCCGCCTTTGATGCGCGAGGTTGCTGGGGTTTACCGCTGTTTTTGGCTCTTGGCCACGTCCGCGATTATTCCTTACTGATGTCCCAGTGTATAAGGCGCCAAGATGGATTGACAGGCGGAAAGCAATCGCGAGTGCGATGACACCTCTCCAGTCTCTGCGCGCTCTATCTCTGGGCTGTGGTCAGTCGCGCCACTGCGCTTGGTTCAGAAGAGGCCCCAGGATCGATCGGAAACGCGTCCGTCAGTGGCGTTTATCTCTGGGCCGAAAAGCATGCGGGGGACACCGGCCTATCATTTCGCCGCTCTTCCAACGACGCCGTGCGTCCACGTCCAACTGCCCCCGGAAGATAGACGCCGCTGAGCTGGGCGACTTCCAGTGTTCCGGTGGTCACTGGAACGAGGCCATGTATTTGGGGCGATTGAGGGCTGGAAGGCCTAATGCTTTCGTGACGTGCCAGGTCGCTAGCAGCGCGCACCTGCTTGATGCCGGATCGTCGACCCGGCGCTTGCCAATCTCGGCGGTGTCATGCCAGTGGTGTTTGCCAGCATTTTCTTCTTGTCTTGCCAGTCCGGGCGTGCGTCGCCGCTCGAGTCGCCCGGCGAGCCAGACAGCGAGGGCCGCGTCTGTCCATGTGCTCTCGCTTCAACGGCTGTGTTCCTCGCGTATTGGCCTCGGGGTCAAGGCGCCGTCTCCTGTCGAGAAGCCTCGCAGGATCCCATCTGCCTTCAGGGCGACGCACCCGCCGTCAGGATTGAAGTCCTGAGGGGGGACTTCCCGGTCCGACGGTGTCACTACCGCCGAAGAATAGTTCCGAACGTCCTCGGGTGCCGTGATCAATCGAAAGGAACGGTCGATGACGTCGATTGGCAAGCAAGCGTAGCCGCAAGTTCGGCAGCAAGCAGGTGGCGACGTCCCGGTTTCGGTGTTGGACGGCCGGCGTCTGGGCAGATCCATCTCTTGGTCCACAGGGAACAACCAATCCATCGAGTTGTTCGTTCCGTCCTCCGAGTGCGGTCAGTCGATTGCGCCTTGGGGTAGTAGGGCCTGGGAGACGAGCATCTCGGTTTATCAATACTTTGGCGCCAAAGCCTTTCCAGTACAGGCAGGATATAAAGATATGTTTGTATTATGATGAATATATATATGTAAAGAACCGGCTGAAATATATGCCGAAGTAAAGGGTACCATCACGATTGTCTACAGCCTTGCCCATCATTATTTTATAGTCTCGAACGGTTGGTTGCAGGTGCGCCATTAAGAGAAAATCGAATGATTGGACGCCAACGCCTGCCTAGCCTTTAGACCCCCCTCCCATTACTTCTGATAAACCGACAGGCGGTTGCCGTTACCGCAGTACTCGATGTCGGACCCCGTGCAGAACATGCTACAGTCGCTCGCCGGCGCCTCGAGGGATGTCTCCGGCAGCGCGTTGCCGCAGTAGCACTCGGCTCCATATTCCGTGCCGAAGTAGGTGTAGCCGTCGCAGAACGCCGCGCACGCCTCGTTCGTCATCTTGTCCGAGGCGGTGCCCTTGGCATCCAAGGCGCGTCCGCCCTGTGCGGGCTCGGTGCGGCAGCCGAGGAACGTGTACGCCCCGACCGTGGCCGGCTGGGCGGGTTCGCCAACTTGCTTGTCGGTTTGGTACAGCGTCAGCCTGTTGCCTGCGCCACAGTACTCGTACTGGTTGCCGCTGCAGGTCATGGCGCAGTCTGCCAGGGGGGCCTCCGAGCTGGACGCCGCGAGGAAGTCGCCGCAGTAGCATTCGCTGCCGTACTCCGTTCCAAAGTACTTGTAGTCCGAGCAGAAGGACGCACAGTACTCGAGCGTCATGTTGTCACCAGAGGCGTAGTTCTTTTGGCCCAAGGCCCGCACTCCGTTGCCTTCTGTCCAGCAACCCACCAAGGCGAAGGGGGAGATGGTGGGTTTGTGAGCCAGGGTAGGGACGGTGCTTGTCGAGCTTGAGGTACTGGTGGCGGATACTACACTGCTGGACGAAGACGCGGGGCTGCTGGAGGTTGCGGGGTCTGACGAGGTCTGGGGTGAGCTCGGATCTGAAGTGACTGAGGGCTCGGCTTGGCTACTTGACACTGCACCGGTGAACGCGGCGGAAGACGTGACGGAGGACGTTATCGTGGCCAACGTGGGAGATGAACTGCTGACTTTGTATAGCTCAAGGCGGTTGCCGTCGCCGCAGTACTGGTACGGGTTGCTGGCACACTTCATGTTGCACTCGGTCAACGGGGCAGTCTTGCTGGTGGATTGGAGTTCGTTGCCGCAGTAGCCTGGACTCGGATTAGCCGCCTGTCTCATCGCAAGAGCCTCACATCACACTCACATTCGCGACCATACTCGGTGCCAAAAAAGGTGTAGTCGGAGCAGAACGCGGCACATTTGTCGAGGGTCATGTCGTCGCTAGCAGTCTGAGCGGCTTGCAGAGCGCGGCCGCCATCGGCCTCCGTCTGGCAGCCCACGAGCGAATACTTGCCGATGGCGTTGATGTGGGCGAGGGTTGCCGTCGGGGCGGCCGTCGAGCTGGTGCTGCGCGTGGCCGTGGTCGAGTACAGCTCAATCCGGTCCCCGGCTCCGCAGTACTGCGTCGAATCGCCGGAGCACTGCATGCTGCAGTCGGTCAAAGGGGCAGAAGTGGTAGAGGGGGCCAGGGAGTTACCGCAGTAGCATTCGCGTCCATACTCGGTGCCCCAGTAGTCGAAACCGGTGCAGTTCGCCATGCAGCTGTCCAGAGTCATGCCGTCGTAGGCGAAGGCGGCGCCGGTAAGGGCCCGGCCGCCCGAGGCCTCGGTCCAGCAAGACACGAGCTTGTACCCGCCCATGGTCTCCCGGTGGTGCAGCGTGGCCGTGGGGGCCGTGCTGGAGGTGCCGGAGGCCGAGACGGTCGTCGAAGTGGGGACGGCAGAGGCGGTGACACTGTTGCAGGTGGTCGACCCCCCTGACCACGCCTGGCAAGTGCCCCCGATGGGATTGGCCTTCTTGAACGAGTCAACCATGGCGGATGCGCCCTCTCCGCTGATAAAATCCATGGTGGACTGGGGACTCAGACCGCCGGGGATGTTGGTGGTAACGGTGAAGAATGTATAGCTGCCCTGGCAGCTTCCCTTGACCATATCGACAGTCATCTTGTTCAACAAAGGCACGATACTGTTCGTGCGCGTCGTCTTGTAGGAGATCTCCACCTTGACCGGAAGTGACGCTCTATCATTGCGGACCGCGACGACAAAGGTAACGTCGCCAGCAGATTGCTGCAGGCAACTCTGGAGCGGTTGGAGGAAGATGGCGTCCTGCAGAGGGTACCCATTGCCGTTGTTATTGAAAAGCGTGCTCGAGCCGTCCTTCTTATTGATTGTGACGGTGAAGGACGAGATGCCAGTGCTGACAGGGAAAGTCTGACTGATGGGGTACCAGGCAAAGTTGTCTTCCAACCCTCTAGAGATGCCCAGGACCGAGAGAGTGAAGGCGCAGCTGCTAGAACCGCAAGTGGAGCTCCCGTCCCGGGTCTTGTAGTTGATGGTCAGGCTCGCAATGGTGCCCAAGGGTATCTCGGTGGTTCGGATGCGGATGGCGCCTTGGAGCTGGATGGTGGAGGGCGAGGCGAGCGAGAGCTGAAGATCAACCGGCTTGACCGTATAGGGCTTGATGGGATCGGTGAGCGTGACGCCGGATGGCACGACGTTGACCATCTTCTCGAACACGGTCTTGCAGGCGGACTTGAAGGCGGCATTATCAGCCATGGCTCTCATCGTCGCGTTGTCGGAGTTGAAGACCTTGAAGTCGGAGTTCTGGTTGCGACCGTTGCCCATCGTGAAGACGAGGGGATTCTTCGTGGTGCCGTCGAGATACTCGGTGACAACCTTGTTGTCGAAGACGCCGTTTGTCGTATCCATGGGTGCCATCCCGTTCGCAAAAGTGCCGGCAGGGACGATGTTCGGGTTCTCGGCCGAGTGCACACCGCCAATTGTGTGGCCGCAGGCCGTCACCTGAACCATTTCCTGGGGCGTAAAACCCATGCGGCCAAACTGTTGTGTGAAGATCTGGATGGCGTTTCCGGGCTGCGGCACGCCAGTGGGGCCTTTGACGGTCGCGTCGATGCGTCCAGAACGATAGTTGATCGAGGGGCCGTTGCAAGACAGCACGGAGGCGTACACTCCAAGGGCGATCAGGTCCGACATGCTGCTCTTGCGGGTCAGGTAAGGTTTGAAGAAGGTCATCGAAGTTGCGAAGCCAGGGCCAGCGTTCTCTCCGCCTACTGAGAGCTCGTACTGAATCGACGCGTCTAAGCCGCCGGTCCCGGCGCCTGCGACGTTGGCCGGTGCCATGTCGTGAAAGGCGGTCCTTAGCCATTCGGCCGCAGTCTGGCGGCCGGCCCCGTTGGTTTCTTTGTTGCAGGGGAAGACGGCATCAGCGAACTTTCGTGACCTTGCGTTGAACATCTGGTACATGATCTCCTCCAACTCGTCGACATCCGAGGGCCATGTCGGGTCGGCGTGGACCTGGCATGCTAGGCCCAGAAGGCCCAGCAGTAAAGACGAGACTACCTTCATAATGCCGATACATTAACCCTCGGAACTTTCGAGGATCGACGGTGATGAGGGGTTACCAGCACGGGTGCAAGCGAGGGACTAGGTCATCCAAGTAAACGGATCGACCTTGGGGTTGGGGCACCGACAAGGCAAGTATGCCTAAAGAGAACTGAGCAGTCGCAACAGGAGAGAAGGATGGGGACGAAGCAAGAAGGAGAGATGAGGCGGGGGTGCTCGCCGTTAGATATGTGAGGCATGGTGCCAGAGAAGTCACCCACAACTACGACGGCCCGGCCTAACATGGGGATCAGGAGGTTCCATGTAGCAGCAAATTCGGCGAGCAGACGGGGAATAGCGGGCCCGTGGCGACGACGAGGGATTGACCGCGTACGATAGCGCAAAGACGGGCGATCTAGGCATTATGGGCAGGTCTGAGCAGAGATGAGAAGTTTAATAGCGGGCAAGGGTAGCGTTCCCTGAGGGCGACTAGCGGCTGGTGGTGATGGCGGAGCAGATCAAGGGCTTGTTACTGGTCACCATCGTGGGAGTCAGCAAGTGAACGAGTGTGGGGTGTGGGTGCACCGTTGATACCTGCCTGGTAGGAATAGAGAGAGATGGATCCGTAGAGAGATGTGAGACTTCGTATTTTGGGCCAAGGTGGTCAAGGAGGCCAGTCCAGATCCCCTCTTTCCCATTCCGAGTTAGTGTCGCCTTCACATTAGATCGCAATCTGAGAGTTGTGGTTGGCCGCGAGCGTTATTGAGGCTTTTGTGAACACCAGCCGCAATTGTGGGTGGGAGTAGACTAGGTAATCCAGGGGTGCCGGGGTACAACGCCCCTGCCCCTGAGCCACGCTTACTTCGATTAACCTCAGTTGGGTTGGTTCGAGATACCCTCGAAAACGATTATGCGGTGGGATTGCCCAGCGATGCGTATAGGGGTAAAGATTGCATATTGACAAGCAGAAGACCCATGCAGTCGCTGAGAGCCACGTCCAATGACTTTCGGTACGCAGTAGTCAGCAGATAACGGACCATGGTTTCTGCTTTTCGTACCTACCTTCCTACCTTATGGGAGGGGGGGGGGGGGCTGGTTGGTGAGATGCCCGTTCTGGCCCTGGCCTGCTCTCTCCTGCGCGACAACAAACTATTGATGCCATGCCAACGTTGTGCATCTGCTGACACGAATACCTGCATCCTTTTCCCAATCTTACAGCATACGTGAATGCACTCGCAGCAGAAACCTTGTGGATACCACCTCCGGCGAGGACGAGGACACAGACGTCTCGGTCCACGGTATCGCGGCAAAACCGGCTTCAACGGCATCTCCCAGCCTGATCCGGCGACGGGATTCTGGTACCCAACCAAACAACGCCAGGATTCGTTCGCGCATGTGGCCATCCGTCGAGCCTACTCCATCACCAGTCTCCGCGCGACCGCTCTCGCTTCATCACGCGTTGTCAGTCTGAAAGTGGTGGCTCATCCGCTGCTACTACACACATTATCGTTGCCAAGCCGCCATTGCACTGTCACTGTCAACCACCACCCCTATTCTTTTCTTGCAATCGGAGCCCGGCTAGAACCGGACAAAGCTGATAGATGGGTCTGCAGCCATCGCATGCATGAGGCGTCTGTCAGAAGAGCATCCTATCAAGGCAATGGTCAAATTGCGGATGGGGACGCCACCGCAATTGATTGTCAAGGCGACCAAAGCGTGGCTTTTGCTAGTGGAAACGAACTAGCGTTTTCCGCCCTATAAGGGAAAGTGAAGAGGTAAAGGGGCTGCTGGAGTGGCAGATTGCCTATTACACTACGGGTGATCGGAAAGCCATTGCCTCGGCCAAAACCCCCGCGGTTTTGCGTTTTTAGTCGCCAACGGTTCTGTTGTTCGGAATCGCACAAGACAAAGAACGACTTTTCCGACCGGCCACAATCCGACAGTATGGCCAACCCGCGGACGACGACAAGGCTGAATGGAGACACCCCAGGCTTAGCCATGCGAAACAATTCGCTGCCGTGGGTACACAGAGAGGAGCATAAAGAGGGCCACAAATAGGATTCTGTGGCTAGCTTTTTGCAACCCAGTTGTACGGAAAACCGACCGCCGGCTCATGTTCGAATGCGCTGTTCCGCAGTCCGACGCTGTACGCTATTTGAAGTGCTTGACGTCCTTGGCGTGAGAATTGTCTTCTCAACGTCGTGGCTATGGGAATGGCTGTTCCATCTTACAGAGCGCCCCAGTGGATATCCATCAGCTCCTCAGAGTTGGGCTTTCGTGGACGCCAAGGACCGGAAGCTCGGTGCCTGGCCCGATAGATGCGGGGCCGGCCTATCGCCCATCTCCGAACGTTACCGCGTTAGTCTCAGGTCGGACCGCCGATATGGCATTCCGAGCAATTCACAGCGTACTGGTACGGCCCGGTCACAGCAACCAAATGCTCGATCCCCCCAGAAAACTATGCAAGCTTCCTGCAGCCACCCGAACGCCCGCTGCACAGACGCCCCAACCATGAGCGCTAGCTCTCCAAAGGCAGTCCATACAGGGCAATACGCGTCCACAGCAGGCGACCTGAACTTGGCAATCGTACTTTTGAACGACCGGCATTCTCGGGGCGAGCAGGTATGGCGGGATTGAAGAAACGCGGACCATCCGCCGCTTCCCGGCAGTGCCCCCAACCGCTACGACGTCTGCAACTGCCACGACTGAGCTGCGCTTGAAGGCAATGACATAATGCGCCTAGGTATGAGACAGCCAAATGCAGCTTGACGTCTAGTTGCGGCGACTCAGCAGCCCGACTCCGATCGGGACGAAGTTTGGCAAACAGCCTGACAAACTGAGAGGGAAGCACGCACACTCTTGACTGTTGTCTTTTCTCTATCCATATGATGACGCCGGACAGTTCTTCGCTCTTTTTTGGTATTCTGCTGACACACAGCCTACTTGCAGGCCATCACGTGAGTTTCGAACGCTAATTCTTCGTCCGTGGAGAAACCCCGACAGATACAAGGAGAAGCAATTGGCTGGGGCTGCGCAAAATCAACAAGAACCTGGCACCGTGAAGAGAGACATATTTAGACGAAACCTGATGGGCAAGTGCGGTCGTTGCGTATTGATTAGATCATGACTCTCATGGAAAGGACGAGCCCTGCAGTGTTGGCCCTAGCCCCCCAAGGATCTTCGTCGACCGCCGGGGGACCTGACAGTTTAAACCGAGACATGCCGCTACCCAGAACGACGCGTACACCTTGCACTCTGAATCTCGCTCTGACGCTGGCCGAACGTGACCCGAACCGAATTCGGCGGGTCGGATGGGGTTTCGGGCTGAGAAACATGTTCCATACGCGCGACAGTCGATCATGATGTGGGCATTCCGGATAGCTTGAGTCGGTCCTTTAAAAGGGGGGAAGGGAAGGAAACAAAACCTCTACCGGAAGTTGTCATGAACCGAAACCTTCCTAAGCCTAGGAATGGTCAGTGCGGAGTATCCTAGAAGAGCTAGGAAACTCTGCCCCCTTCTAAACGATGTCCGTTTTGAAGCATCCCCGTGTGGGAGACTGTGTTTCTCAGTCATAACACCTTATTCAACTTCGGAAACCCGCATCCAACCTGCCGAACTAACCCTTGGCCCTTGGCCTAGCTTCCCGTGCTTGCCGTGGCCCACCCGAGGAAACCTTGAAAGTGAACTGTGCACCACCAGCGAAGGAAACAGAGAGTTAAAAAGGGAGGACCCCAGGAGCAGGCCGATCCCGAACCCCAATTATCTGCCCTGCGAAGCCACACTTGTATTGTGGCCGTGACGGGTAAGTGGAGAACCCGTCCTCCGCCCGGTCCAACGAAGCCCGTGGATGCCCCTCCAAGACATCTGACATCATATCCCCGTCGAGGCTGTGGGTGGGAGGGGTTCCATTCAGCCACAATGTTCGTCATCAAACCGCAAGCAGTGGCCCGTCTGAAGACTTGACGCCCATTCTCCGTCATTCCCTATCCCCCCTCCATTGACTTTGGACTGGGTAGCTTGTGTGGTGAAGGGGGGGAAGCTGTTCATGGAATACCTAAACAGCTGGCCAAGAATAATGCACTAGAGATCCCTGGACTTGGGCCGAACAGGAAACACCCGTACCTTGCCGCGATCCACGCAATGAGGGATCGGCAGACGGAGGAAACCATTTATTAATACCGACATACGTGGGGAGGCAGCCCTGTTTCTTGCCCTGCTCTCTTTAAAGTATTAAGGGTCTCTCGACCGCCCCCGTTCGGACATCTCGACTCTATCCCCATCCCACCCGTTCATCCAGCCTGTCAAACACCTTTCCAAGGCAGGTGACAGCCGACCACGAGCGACCTTTCACCTCTGCTCAGACCAACGTCAAGCAAAATTACGTATCCACTAAACAAACCTAAGTAGTACCCTTGACCACAGTCCGCGACCATGGGCTTCGCCTTGAAATTCCTCCAGTGGTTCATCCGCGGCGTACAACTAGGCTGCTCGGTCATCATCCTCGGCATCTTCTCCTACTTCCTCGCAACACTGCACAACCACTCTCTCCCAATCGACAATTCGATCCGCGCCGTTGAGGGCATCTCTGGCGCTGCGGTTCTTTACACTCTCGCAGGCCTGCTCCTCTTGTGCTGCATAGCCGGTCGCTCCTTCACCTCCTTCATTGCCATTGTCATCGATGTCGCCTTCATCGGCGCCTTCATCTATGTCGCCGTAGCCAACCGCAGCGGCGCCAGCTCGTGCTCTGGTAATGTCAACACGCCCTTTGGCGACGGCCCCGCCGACGGCGAGCCCACCAACACCGGCAATGAGGGCTGGACGCATCTCCCCAGCCTGCGAACTGCTTGTAAGCTGCAGTCCGCCTGCTTCGCTGTCTCCATCATTGCAATGTAAGTTTGTCTCCGCCGACAACGATGATCACAACATTGGTACTGACCCTTCCTCAGAATTTTCTTCATCCTCTCCGTCCTCGTCGAGGTCGCCCTCGCCCGCCACCACCACAAGGAAAAGCGCTTCGGCCCCAGCCCCAAGAACAACTATACCTCGGGCTCCGGCGCCAAGCCCGGCTTCTTCAGCAGCTTCCGTCGCGGCAAGCGTGCCGTCCCCGAGACCAACGAGAATGCATTGCCCATGCACACCAGCCCCGACCAGGTCCGTCCCAGCTACGCCACCGATACCACCGCTGTCGGACATGAAGCGACATACCCCAAGTACGAGGGCGCCTACGCCACCAACGGCATCAACGGCTACAACCACGGCCAGGAGACTGGCACCACTGGCGCCACTGGCACCACCCACCCGCCCAACAACTACCACTACAATGACGGTGTCTACGATAGAGTCTAATCGAGCCTGTTGATTGGCCCGCAAAACGAGCATGAAAGGAAGAAACGCGAACCTTGGTAATACGAATATGATATCAACAAGATGTCATCAATCAAGGACGGAAATATACCCAGGGATTAAAGGAGTCTTGCATATCGCGTAGCTTAATTACCAGCTTTTACTAGTTTGATAGCCGTGAATCATATGATCATTGTCTGATGTTACACATCAACATCTTGAGATTACGAAGTTGCAGCGGTATTGTGAGCGTCACCAGCGGATTCACCGCGTTGCAGCCTGGCTAACGAACATTGGCACGTAGACATTACACGGCCGCGTTCGCCCAGCGGCAATTGGGCTAGGATCCGAAGCGGTGATGTCTTAGGGCCAATTTCCTCTCACATTCGAAGGACTTCGAACCATGCCACTTCATGGCCCCGGCCCCTTTCCCGACCCGAAGGGTTCAGTAACCTAAACCGGACACTTGGCCAGGCGTCAGCAAACCTCGTCAAACGCACACAGCAGGATCTTGTCACGGCCAGCCAGCCGCCTCGGCCCACTCACTGTTTGCGCCGTCTTCGGCTCCCACGTCCGCCCAGTTCATGTCCAGCTTCTCCAGCTCCCTCGTGAAGAAGTCCTGCTCCTCCCGCAGGGCGGCTCGCAGCTCGACGGCGATCTTTTCGGGATACCTGTGCATGTTGTACCAATGCGTCAGGCTGCGCAGTGCCTGCTCCAGCGGCAGCGCCGAGTCGACCTCGGCATCGACGTCGCTCCCCGCCAACCACTCATCGCGCAGCTCGGGCCGGCAGTGGAGGTACACCGCCGTGATGACGCGCATGTTGCTCTGCCGCCACTTGCGGCCACAGTATGGCACCTGGTTCTTGAACAGCTTTAAGGTGTAAAGTCGGAGTTCTGGCTGGGGAATCTTGAGTGACTTGCGGAGGATGTTGGCCGACTTGTACTGCACCAGGAGGAGGTTTCGGTGGGCCTTGTGTTTGCAAATCTTCTGCATGATCCGGAGGTAGTTGATGAGTGAGAAGAAGTTTCTTCTCGAGAAGTCGGTGATCGGCTCAGCCGGCAGGTCATTGACGGGGTATCCGAGCTCGTCGACTTCGGGCCGCACCGCAGCTTGCCCATCGAGCTTAGCACTATTGTCGCTGTCGCGCGTTGCCGCCGTGGTTGCCCGAGGTGGTGACCGCCTCCTCTTAATGGGCGGAGGCGCTGCTTCGTCTTCGCTCTCTTCCTCGGGCTCTGCCTGGACCGGCGGCTTGTCCTTAAACTTCGATCGTAGGTTGCAGAAGTGGAAGAAACTAGATAAGTCAGCTTGTATCGTAGGGGCGCCCTGATTTCGCACGTACCTGTTCTCGAGCCTGTCCGTCTTGCTGTCCACCACTTGTTGGACATCCTGATGCGCAAATAGTTTGAGGACTAGCGGGAGGTAATTGGAGTCGAGCAGAAGCTGCGTCATGTACTCAAATTTGAGAACGTCTGGGCCTTCGTCAGCATGCGACTCGCAACACTAGCCAGTGCTACATACGCGAGATTCTAAGCCACTTCAGCAGAAGGAGCAAGATGGCCGTTATGGCTTTGGTAGTGATCTCTCGGGACCTCGCGGCATCCACTTCCTCGGGGGTCATCTCGGGGGGTTCAGGAGGACCCGACTGTGCCGAAGGGTCCTGGGACTGCTGTTGCCTATTGGGCCCGGGGCCGCCGTTCATGCCGTTGGCCCCTCTGCCAGCCATACTCGGGTGCTGTTGTGCTGCGGCAGGCTGCGACAAGACAGCAGTGACGTTCAGGAGGATCGGCCTCAGGAGGACGATCACGAGTGACTGCAGGTGAGGAAGAGACTCCTTCTGTAGAGAAGTTAGCCAAGTCCACTTAAGGTTCTGGTTTACCCACGTAGAAGCTCTCGACGGCAAGTAGCCGGCGCTTGACCTCCTCGTTCACTCTTTCTGCGGCAGGACCGCGGTCGATTTCTGGTTCTCGCATCGAAAGCTGTGCTTCCCTACGTTCCTCGGCTCTCGTCTCGGCCTTGAGCGCAGCAATTTCTTGCTTCTCTTCCAGGCTTAGCCCTTCAAGGTCGAGATCATCAACGTCGTCGTCACTATCATCTGCTTCCCACCCTCTCTCGAATTTCAGGAAGCTCTCGCGTTCTCTCCAGAGCTGGCGTGTCGCGCGTGTCGTGCGAACTCGCCTGGAGAACAGTTCGCCTGCCTCCAGAATGGACGCGGGAATGTCACTGCCCTCCCATCTGCGACCGACAAGTAGTTCTTGTAACCCAGCCCCGCCTTTACCTCCGGCGCTGTTGCTTGTAGCATCCAGAGGTGGGTACATGAATGGGAAGTTCTGATTCGTCTGATAGTTTTGTTTCTTACCGCCCTTGCCTCCAACACCAGGAGACGGAGGTGGCGAAGGGGCAGGTGTCGCGATGTGAACCGGCTGGTGCAGGATAGAGGCGCCGCTACTTTGCGGGTTGGGTGGTCCCGGTACGAATCCCATCGCCGCACTAGTCCTGGTGGGATGGTTAGGCAGAGGTGGCAGGAGGGTTGTATTCTCCGGCTCGAGAGGGATGAGGGTCCTCGGCGGCACGTAGGCCGGGTACTTAGAGGTGAGTTCTTGTCGAAACACATGGTAGTCCAAGGGCGACGCGGTGATGACGTCCTTGGATTTCGCGTTGGGGGATTCGCTTGTGGCCTTCTTGACTTCGTCTATTTCCTGCGTACCACCAAAGACCAGGAGAATGGTCTTCCAGAACAGCAGAAAGATCTAGTAGAATTAGCCAGAGTCATCCACGGTGTCGGTGATCATACCTGGCTAGATGGCATCAAGTTGCCATCGTCCCAACGCAGCTTGGAGGCTGCTAGAGACATGAAGTCGACCAGACCGGGCTTCAAGGAAACTAATGTAAGGTTAGCCGTGGCCCCTTGCACATGCCGCCAACGTATGCTTACGAAGTTCAGATCTTGTAGTTTCTAGCTCCTTTGGGAAACTCAATGCCTCCTGGATGATGACATACATGATTGTCATTAGGTTGATGAGCTCATCCTGGGCCTCTTGGGCACCACCGGGCTGCACCAGTCGAGGGTCGTCCGACCTGGTCAGGTTAGTCGCAGGAATAACATTGTAACCGAAAAACGTACCAAAACACATCGAAGCAGTCTTGCAAGGCCTTCCATACGGTGGCAATGCCGTTCAGGGATGTAAGAAAGGTGATGCTTGATCGTATTGCTTCCAGCTGGGTCGCGCTCGCGGCTGACCGCCTGTCGCCCACTGTAGCCGGAGTGGAGGTATCGCCCCATCGACCCAGCACCAAGTACAGGACCTTTCCAATGGACGCAGAACGTTGTGCGGGGTCCTTGACTTGGAGACCATACAGGGCGTCCTGTGTGAACTTGACTCTGGTCTGGTGTTCCGTTTCCTCCCAAGTTGTCTGGACATCATACTCGTGCTGCCACTGCCACTCGAAGGCCCTCTGGGCAGCGTTCAGCCGCACCCACTGCCAGAACTGGTACACGAACCACTCGTCTATTTCCTCGTCGTGCGAACCCATATCGTTGTAGACAAAATCGTAGGCGACAGGTTCGCCTCGGCTGAACTCGGCGACGATTCGCCTCAGCTGCAATAGTGACAGCGAGTCAGTTGGTTGCGGTTGTTCGGAGGGCGCGGGAGGCATCGGAGCTGGGGGGTCTGGTGCCGGCGCAGGGACGGGGGAGGGTGCAGAGGAGTTCCTCTGAAGAGATGGTCGTGCCGCAGGTGGAGGGGGCGGGTTGCTGGCATCGGGGCCGACGTCTGCAACGACGGCATCGGCGACATCGCCGGTCGGCGGGGGCTCCTTTTCGGCGGGGGCACCCTCGTTGACAGGCCTCGAGGGCCACAAAGAGTTCATCCTGGAAGGAGGCGAGGGTGGTTCGAATGGTCTATCATGCTCTAGAAAGCTGTCGGAGGTCGGCGGCGGTCGAGATTGATTGGTTCGATGGGGCTATTCGAGGATACGCGTCGAGAGCATAGGAAATCGCGTTGCACAGGCCAAGCTCATACTTGACCGCGGAAGAAAGTGTCAGGTAACGCGGTGAAGATGCAGTCTCAAGCGGGATGCAGTTTACGCTGCAGCTTGTGATTGGTTGCAAGCCAGCTCCCTGGGGGGTTTGGCGGGGTGTGGCTGGATCTCACTGACGTACAAATGGCAAATGTGGCTGGTTCATATCTTATCTCTTTTCTTATCGTCAAGAATCTTATCTAGAGTCACAATCTGAGGAGTGATCAGACAAGCTGACAATGCCCCCTTGTCAACCCGAGAGTACTGTGCGCATGTGGTCTGTGCAGAGTCAACCTGACAATAGATAGTACCTACGGATACATACACACGCAAGAGGACTCTAGGTATATCCATTTTGTTTTTTTATCTCCTTGCTTAGGCCCCTTTTCCCATTTTATCAGGACTTTATCAACTGAATCCACTGTCAGTTTGGCTCTACACAGACCATATGTGCACAGTACTCTCAGGTTGACAGGGGGAGGGGGGGCATTGCCAGCTTGTCTGTTGACTCGTCTCAGCCTTGGGTCCGCCTGATAACCAGGATACGGTAATAGGGTGAGTTAAGATTTTGGTTAGGACTCGGGGAGCGATCAGACAAGCTGATAATGCCCCCCCCTTGACAACCCGAGAGTACCGTGCGCGCTGGCCCGTGCAGGCTTGAGCTGACAATGGATACAGTTATAGCCAATAGATAAGGGTATAGATAGAGGGAAAAAACAGAGGGAAAAAAGGAAATTCTTGTTTAATTTGGACCTATAGACCTTTATGACGTGTGTGCGCGTATCTATTGGTTAGAGCCTTATCACCTACTCCACTGTCAGCTCAACTGTGCACGGGCCCCTATCAGTTATCGTGCACGGTACTCTCGGGTTGTCAGGGGGGGGGGGCATTATCAGCTTGTCTGTAGACTCGGTACGGAATATGGTGTTTATCCAGCTATCAGAGTAGACCCACTGTCAGGTTAACTAGGGGGGGGGGCATTATCAGCTTACGTGTATCCGTATACTCGTCCAACACCTGCCTCGCCAACAGTTTTCACCCAGGTGTCTTATCCTCAAATTATGCTTGGCGGGGTCGTTTATCAACGTAGGGTATGAGGAGCATCGCCCGATAGCGCTCTGTAACCCGCGGCCCAATAGGCATTTTCCTCGGGAAGGTTGATAGCCATGCCGACATCCGAAAGGGTCAACTCGAAACAAATCCGTCGTCTGCAGGAACAAAGACTGCAAGGCAATACCTAGGCCAAGTCAGATGAGACAAATAAAAACAAAAGCGTGAAGAACAAACTCATTCGGTAATCGGTACCATGGTGGGTGTTCTTGGAGTCCCACCACAATTGCATCCTTCAACCCTGAAAACGACGTCAGCGACTTGTCACGGTTCCGTGGCAAGCCACAACAGGTATCCACTCCGGTGAATAAGCACCCAAGTGCTGCAATCGTCACTAGGCAATAATACATAGCCCCGCTGATAGAAGAAGCTTCCTCCGAACTTGGGGCAGATCTTACCTCTCATCACTGCTTTCTCGGGATTCTAAACTTTCCCCCTCTCTCGGGGACCGCGGGTTATCGTCGCAATTTTGGGTTAAGAGTCGCAAACGTAAATGTTTCACGGCCCAATTACCTCACACGACCACTAACGGCGGTTCCCCGGTTTGCACGCTCTCAACTTCATTGGCAACGACAATCGCTATAAAGTTCCGTTTGGTATTTGACCCGGCCTGGAATTCAACGCTTCTGCATCACATAACCTCTTTGGACACTACTTCCCAGACCTGCACTGACGCCGTTCACGAACAGTAGGCGCAATAGATCTACCCCGCGATCTTTGCGGCTTCTAGAAGGTTTCACGCTTGCACATCACCGCAACCCCCACCCCTTTGAACATGGGCGCCGAGGCAGCGAATGATGAGAAAGAGAAGCGTGTCGGCTTTAAGGAGGACGAGGACGCCCATTCGAGCGGGAGCGATGACGACTATCAGAAGGCCGTTGAGGTATGTGACCCATGGCCTATTGCCTCCCAACGGGACAACCTGCTACGAGCATAATATTAACATGCTTGCTAGGTCACGTTCGACCCTGGCAATCCTTACCGCCGCAAAAGCTCACTGGTGACATCTGACATTGGTCGGCCTCTCCCGCGCCACCCAAGCAGAAGAACTGAGTGCATTGTCCACCAGTTTCTCGAAAGCCAGAGGAAGGCCCGCGACGCCGTCGCCTCCGCCAGCAACCATGGATCCAGATCCAACTCAGCCTCGAGCACTTCCAAGGCGAATGATCACTACCACCACGGCCATCCCACTTACGAGAGCCCTAGCCGACAAGTTAGCGTCAAGGATGTGTCTGGAGAAACGTGCATCTCCAAACCGGTCGATCCGAAGGGCCACGCCACCAAGCAGAGAGCCTCCATTCTGGCAACAGACAGCCCGGAAGACAGCGACATCGGCCAGGCTGACGAGAAGTCCTGGCGAACCGAAATCACCAAGTCTGCTTCGCAAATAGACCTGACGCAGTCGGACGACGAGGACGAACTACATAGCCGACTACTCACCAAGAAGCAGTTAAGCGAAATGGCTTGGGGAGTTCGCGAGCTCAGCAGACGCCTCAGTAGCATGCGCATCAGGTTCCGCGTCAAGACCATCTTCCTCTTGACCAAAATACACGATGCGGACTTGATCATTCGGACCCGGGAATTGACCAAGTGGCTTCTTTCACTTGACCGAGAAGTTGATTACACCGTCTACTTGGAGGAAAAGTTCAAGGAAAACAAAAGGTTCAACGCGCCGGGCATGATCGAAGAGCTTAGCAAAGAAGCTCTTGATGCCGGACAACCGCAAACCAAGGCCAATCACGATGCCATCTCCAAGCGTCTGAGGTACTGGGACGAAGACATGTGCCGCAACCGGCCCCATATGTTCGACTTCGTCATTACCTTAGGCGGCGACGGTACTGTGCTCTATGCCAGCTGGCTCTTCCAGCGCATCGTTCCACCAGTCCTGAGCTTCTCGCTCGGCAGTCTCGGATTCCTGACAAAATTCGACTTCGAGGAGCACCGCACCATTCTCGAAAGCGCATTCAACAAAGGCGTCACAGTGAGCCTGCGTCTGCGCTTCGAGGGAACGATCATGAGAAGTCAACAAAGGAAAAAGCTGGCGAACATCGAAGACAGCAGCTCCAGCCAGGATGAAGATGGACCGAAGCCTGACCTTGTCGAAGAACTTGTAGGCGAGGAGAGAGAGGACGAGCATACGCACAAGCCAGATGGGACTTTTGAGATTCTGAATGAAATCGTCGTGGACCGCGGTCCCAATCCGAGTAGGTTGCTGACCAAGATTTCCTGCCGACTAAATCCCAGACCGCTGACCCATGGAACCTAATAGCAATGTCCTATACGGAAATATTTGGTGACGATGAGCACTTCACCTCCGTCTTGGCAGATGGAATTTGTGTTTCGACTCCGACGGGTTCAACCGCCTACAACCTGGCAGCTGGTGGCTCCCTCTGCCACCCCGAGAACCCAGTTATGCTCGTCACCGCCATCTGCGCCCATACACTCTCCTTCCGCCCAATTATTCTACCAGACACTATTGTCCTTCGTATAGGCGTGCCCTACGATGCAAGGACCAACTCTTGGGCCAGCTTTGACGGCCGCGAGCGTATAGAGCTGTTCCCTGGGGACTACGTTACCATCAGCGCCAGTCGGTATCCCTTTGCAAGTGTTCAAGCCCAAGGCCGGCGAAGCGAGGACTGGGTCAATAGCATTAGCGGCAAGCTAGGCTGGAATACCCGCCAGAAGCAAAAGGGGTACACGGAATGGGATAAATAACCCGTTCTGCCAAGGATATGTAGACAACGGCGCAGGGAGCACCTCGAAGACCAAGAAGCTTCAGATAGTGATACTCTGAACGAGTGTCCTTTGTGCTCATCAGCGTCAGGGTCTCACGTGGTCACATGCAATGAGGATGGGCGCTTGACGCCATTCAAATCATGCCTTATTGCGTGGCCCGCTTAGGGACCTGTGACCTCCCATACTTCTAAACGCCAAGACTCGCAAATTGCCTCTGGACCGCCGGGGTGTCTTCCAACACGCTGAGGACCAAGACCGACAGGGTCTATGAATGCAACCCAGCTTTATCACAACAAAGCTTGGTCGCAATTCTCTCCCGTAAGGTGTCTTTGCAGGAGAAATGAGGTTGACTGAGAGGGAAACAAAACAAGCCTTCTTGGCCAACTCCGCCCAAACCACCCCCTGCCTGAAGAGGTTTTTTTTTCCGGCGTCGCTTTCGGACAACAACAGCATTGCAAACTTACACCGTCCTAGTCATTTCACGCCTCCTTAGCAAGGTGGTATGAGTGCAACCTAGCGCCTACCAGCACACGTGGGGAATATGCGGAGGTCCATTCAGCACCTGCGTGCGAGTAAACATGCCCAAAAGTCATTTCCTATCAACCGGGAGAGGCAGAGGCATTGCTGGATCAGGTGCCAGCATAGGCCCGACCCTCCTCCAGGCCAATACGCCAAAACACATCGGGCAGGCTAAAACATTGGCCTTCGGCACCCATTCTGATCGGACGTACAGGGAGGGTAAAACTACGCGCCGTACATTATGTCCCGTCCCCCCACATCGCGTAGAACAGGGAATGGGCCCCGGCTGACTCCCCATAACTGAAACGCTATACTTCTCCCATTGGCCTCTGGGTAGCGTCTTGGCGAGGATACCGCCGCCAGCCGACAAGACTTGCGGCTCAAAGGAATTTCTGACGTTGCTGCGGCTTCCGGCGGTGGCTCGCAGGAAAACGGGACGTATCACACCACACCTCCCACCTCATGGCGACTACGAAACCGATCGACATATGCACATTGCCTTGTCGGGAATAGAGTTTGCATTTCCTTGTTTTATTTTATTTTTCATTGTATTTTACGCTTTGCGGCAGCTGCAGTCACAGTACGGTCGTAAGCTACTATACTTATTCATACCGCAACGAAACCACCGGGGAAGAGAGACGGACAATTACTCGCTTTGGGACGAGAAAAGCATGAAATGCTTCCCTTTGATAATTATGAACGCTGGAATAGCAAAACGAGACAGAACAAAAAAGAAGACTAAGGAGGCATAAAGGGAAATGCGATGATGTGCTGTACAAGGTAGATGGTAGAGGCAGTCAGTCTCCTTTCCCCTCAGGTAGGAGAAAACCATGCACACTCCCACACCTGATGCGTCCCTTTCTGAAGAAGGAAAAAAAATAGACCATGTTAAATTTCATAATCTCTGTGATTTGCTATACATGCCGCATGCCGGGAATTATCTAGAACGCGAAACCCATCCACCGCCAATCCCTTGCCGAATTGCATTGATATCGTGACGGAAACAAGAAATAAATAAGACAAAGCCGAAACCAGAGGACTTTTGTGTTTACGCGCGAGTCGGGGGTTTTTTTTATGTGCGTTTGCGCATCGTGATGAGGCCCTCACTCGGCGAGGGAGAAAATCAATATGTGGGGGATCTCGACGCAAGGGAGATTAGGGCTGAGGCCGGGAATTGTCAAATAGGATTGGAACAAATGAGAATAGACGATATGCACTTTTCTCATTGAAAGCTTTTTTTTCTCTCCACCCGAATAGGCGCCAAGAGCAGTTCACTTACTGCTGCTCATCGACGTCGTCGGCCTCGGTCTCGACAAAAGTCATGGTAACGCCCTCGCCGCTAACGTTCAGGTTGACGGTGTCAATGGCACTACCACTGACGCCTCTTGAGGCAAGCTCCTCCTGTGCGCGCTTGACGACGTTGTTGGAGGTGGCGGGGACGACCTGGGCAACGGGGGCGGAGGGGTTGCGGGCAACGAGCTTATCAGAGGCCATCTCAACGCCTGCTCGCATCGTTAGCCGGGATCCAGGTTTGATACATAAGTGTGGTGCCTACTTACCCTCGGGAACGCCCGAGCGAACGTACATGGTAGTGACCTTGGCACGGCGGCGGGGGGGCTGCTGGGCCTCATCGGCGCGGGCCTTGAGACTGGCAGCGGCACGCTGGCCTCCGGCACCAGCTTGGGCAGCACCACCCTGCTGGTTGTCGACCTTGATGCCAACTCCGGAGCCACCCTCGCCGGTGCCGAGATCGATCTTCGGGCCCTTGGTGAGGGCGACCTCGGCGTACTTCAGAGCGCGGTCGAAACCGGCCAGATCTCGCTTCTCGCCGGCGGTGTGGGACTTGCTGAGCTGGACGCGAGGAGCGATCTCCTTGCCCATACCCTGGAGAGCAGCGATGGCCTGGGCCTAGATGTAGAAAACGCAATTGTTAGCTGATATTGGTCCGATTAAGTGCAGATGTCCATGTGCCTCCCGCACCACACGAACACGAACCACCAAGAATCTCACTGGGGTGACTGACCTCGTTGATTTGGTTGTCCGAAGAAATAGCAGTAACGGGAGTGGCGCCGCCCTGAATATCAGCGACGGACTGCTGAGCCTGCTGGTTCTGTTGAATTTCCTGATTCGGCGTTTCCTGAACCGCGGCAGTAGCCGGGGCAGCAGCCGGGGCAGCAGCCGGGGCAGCAGCCGGGGCAGCGGTGGCCGGGGCGGCTCTGCCAGCACCTTGACCCGCGCCGTTGCCAGCAGCCTGGCCCGCCCCTTGAGCAGCATTGACTGCCGCGCCCTCCAGTACGTTCATCAACTGGGAAACATCGCTCTTGCCGCCGAATGAAATTTCACCATCACCCACCACCAAGGCAGGAGAGTAGGCACCAAGGTTAATGTTCAAGGGCAGGGCGCTGACTTGAGCGGCAAGGCCGGCAAGGGCAAAGATGTAGCAGTTAACCATATTGTTGGTTGGTTCGGGTAGTCGGAATGTGTTGTGTGTGATTCGGCTAGAACGGCTCGGAAGGGGTGATGATCCACGGGGCTTTGATACCAGATAATAGGCGTAGGGTTGTATAAGAAAACGACCAGCGGAAGAAGTGAAGTGTTTTAGTGGGGGTTTTTTATATGGTTGGTAATGAAAGAGGAAAACCGAGAAGAGACAGGATACCAGTCGAGCACAGCTAAGAAAGAAACAAGAGAGAAGAGTGAGAAAACCACAAGAGGATTTGGCTTTCATATATCTCCCCAAGCGGCGAGAGATGGGCGAGGTGAGACTGTAGACCGGCGGCATGCTTGAGACGCAGTCGCCAAAATGCCAAGAAACAGAAACCCGCTGCAAGACTCGTGTTAGTCGCGGGCCCTCGGACATGGCCACAAAGGCCTGCTGCTGCCCGGGGTGGCCCCTAGATCGATTCGGTATGGAGGTGCAAGGGTCATCGACTCGTTGAAAAGGTAGGATTGCCCAACTGGAAAGCTCCGAATACTACTATTGGACGGAGGGCTTCTCAAGCTGGCTCTCCGCCGGCGGGGCCAGAGAAGTCCAGCGTGCGGTACAAGCAGCGAAGGACTCAATGAGGCATGAAACGCAGGTGACACCAGAGGCCGGCGGCGGGCCAACTGGACATGTCATGTTGGGATACCCATCTGGCTGGCGAGGGTGCGTTGTGAGGGCGATTCGAGACCAGGCTTAAGGAATAGACCTAGACTTGATGAGGGGTGGTCTTGGCATCGTCGCCGCGCCTCTATGCGATGGCCAAAAATGCAAGGCAGGATGCTTATTTTGGCCCGCAGATCCACGCTCCGATGTTACCAGGGCGGGGGTAACCCTAACGTCGGACGCGCAATGAGATCCGTCTTGACTCTCTCGTCGTTGGTCCAGGGACGCAGCATTCGAAGAGTGGGTCAATCGCTCTTGAGACCATGCCAAGAACTCCTGCGATGGCGACTAGGACGCGTACGGCGACGATGCTACCTTGCTGCATGTCTTCTTTCGACGACAGGATGAACGGGGCGAAGCGTGCGGGTGTATGGAGTACAGGCGGAAATTCAGAAAAGTGACGAAGAGAGGCTCTCAACTCCAGCAGCATTCTCGCAGTGCCAAGGGGGCGGGTTATCCTCTTGGCACTTGACGGGTCGCCGTGCGGCCGGTGTCGTATTTTGTCTGGCAGGCGGCATTCCATGCATGTAGTATAGTTGGTACCCTTTCAAGGTACTATGGCCAAGGAGCCCAAGAGATCTTCCCGGTATTGGCGCTGTCGACCGCTATGACGAATGGAGTTTCCATACCCGCCAAGGGCAATCATCCAGTGCCCAGCCGTGTGCTTTGGCGGGCGACGGAAAATAAATTATTAAAAAAGAATCAGTGTCTGCAGGGCACACCGGGCTGCCAAACGAACAACGAGGGAACTGAATCGGGGTTATTTCCCTTTGCCGAGTCGTGCTCGCTGCAATAAAGGCCACCGTCGTACCGGACGCTGAAATGGCGTCCCGCTCGAATGTTTCCCGATGTCGGCCGGGTCACAGTGGTTGGAATCTCGCCCAATGGTCAACAGAAGGGCAAACACATCACAGCCGAGCCCCAGTGGTTTATCCATTGACAACTGTCAGGATGAGAAGCCCCATGGAAGAACCGCGTGGGACGACCATCAAGCAAAGGGGGCCTAGGTGTGTGTGTGTACTGTAGGAACGCGGCCTTGGGTCGACTATAGGAAAGTGGGATGCAGGATGCAATGCAGAGAGCGGATGAGGTCGACCGAGGCGGGATGCCGACTCTGCAGTAGGTACTGCATGTGCTGGTGCGACGCCCTCCACATTACCCCGCCGGTGTCTGAGACCTCGGAGTTGCTTGATAGTCACCGACCGTTGTGCGGAGAGACTCCTCTCTTGTTTCCTCGGGCTCCGTTCCGTGGCCAATTTTAGCATCGGGTGTCAGACTGGCCACCCCTTGTTTCCAGCGAAAGAGCCTGTTTAGCGGTTCTGTGGGATCCATTCCCCGATGCAGCCCCACAAGACATGACCCGCTGGAGGCGAAAATGCACACAGAACCTCCTTGTCTTGGATACAGGTACGAGGGCCGAGCCTGTATGTAGACTGTCAAAACCGACAGGTGGCGATCTAATCGGTTCTGTTGCTTGTAGGTGTCAGAACCAGACGTGGGATTTGGTCAATGCCGTGGGAGGATTCGTTTCCTTGTGACCGACCTATTGTTTTCTTCTTTTTATAGACCTTTTTTTTTCTTTTCTTTTTCTTTCTACAGTAGCCGTACCGTGAAGCGACCGAGGGGGTCCGCCAGCAAAATATGTCCTTTCCAAGGTAGTAGGTAGGTACGCAATTTTGCCAACCACAGTCTATTCCTAACCAGCTCTTGCCTGCTTCCTTAATCCGTACCTTACCTTAGAGGCTTAGGTAGTGCAGGCAGGTACTTTAACTTGCCTTGCACCTGCCACGGGCCGTACATTGGTGGGAGCAACTGCCATGTGCGGCGGCCTTCCTTTGTACTAGTTAGGTACTCTGTTGTCTTGTCCGAATTGACTTTAACTCAAGGTACCTAACATTAGGTGAGTGCGCGTGCCATGAGGTCACATTGCTCCCACCACCGTAGTTTGATACTGTCTGTGGCGCAGCTGCCACGTTTTGTCCTAGAGGAAAAGATTAGAGAAGACGATTAACCCTCGCCCAGGCCGCGGAATGGTTGGTCTTGGGAGGCCAATTCAATTCAAGCCTCGAGGCCCCCAGCGACCCCGTTAACTTGGCTTTCTGGGGAAGCTGTTCTCTCACCGTCATTGGGCCCGTGAGCCGATGTTGCGTGAAAAGGGCTTACCAAGAACATCCATCCATCGGCGATGCTCTTGGCAACGCTCTTGGCTGCGTCGTCGAGTGTCATCTCGTCTGCTGCCCATGCGGGCTTACTCGAGACCTTGGCCATTGGGGGGGGGGGGGGGGGGGGGGGGGGCCAAAAGTTGCCGCACCTCTTACGAATCCCTTCGGATTGATTGTGTTTGTTTCGAGGATTGATACCTTGCCAACATAAGCTTGTCTGGCACGGCTAATCCATCTGGGGTGGTTGGGTACCCATCATAAACCCCCCTGAAAGAGTCCAAGCACGCAATCATGCAAAATCCCTCGACTGCGACGTTGGGCGTCGACAATTGTTGCCCCTTTGCAAGTGCCGGCAGATGAGGCAAGATTGTACGGAGCTGTCACCCCGCCCAGAGCCATCTGTGACTTGCCTCGATGGTCACTCACCAGAACGGCGGACGTCGCTGAGTATGGCACGTCTCCCGACACATATCGCCTCCAGGGATTGGTTTTGCAAGGCTTCATCAACGATGCCAAGAACCAGAATCACTTCCTTCTTCGGACGGATTCCCCATCTTTGCCCTCAAGCTTCTGTCATCCAAGTCCCTTGTGCGCAATCCTCGTTGATATCAGGCCGGCCAAGACGGCAGGACGCCGCCGCATTGTAACCGCGGCCAGCAAGCAGCACCGTAACGGGTTGCCAAACCACCAGTACGGCGCAGTGCTTGGACGCGCCCTTTCACTCGTCGCATATTCTTTCCGATCCGAAAATAGCTCTTGACGGACGGCCTGAGACGTTCGCGACTCTCGGTTGCTGCCTCATTGACTCTTGGACGAACCGGTCCGTACGGGCTCTTCTCTCCGTTTATGCGTTCCATACGGGTCAGCTTACCTGGATCTGTTACAACATTCGGGCGACTTCTTGACAAAAATCCTCTCTCTCTCTCTCCCTCTCTCCCTCTCATGCCTTCAAAGGGAGACCCAGGCGTCATTATCCCAGGGGCTGTCCCGTATCGCCAGGTCCTTTCCAATTGGGCAAAATCGCCTTTTCTTCTCATTACCTTCTTCTGTTTGTTTGCTGGCTGACTTGGGAAGGGGTGACAAGTCGAGCGGTGCTGTGGGCTCCTTCCCAAAACGCATCCAAAACAGTGAAACATTTGCAGGATTCTCGTCTAGCATTTTCTTGTCGCTTATCGCACGCGCCAAGGCCAGGCCTCAGACGTGCCAGATAGTGTATGTAGCCGGCAGGTCTGGAAGGGGCGGCAAGGAGAGCGAGGCATCGTCGCTTGTCCTGGGGGGCCTAGACCAACTACCAGTCAACGAGGGTCTCCTGACTCGTCTCCTTGTTTCCGCCATTGAAGCTGTCACTCGCTGCCTGCCCTATATCGCCAACGGATTATTGCAATAACCGGTCAAGACCCTCCTGTTAAAGTCTTGGCGCTGCAGGCTACGGCTCACGCATCTCTCGATGCAGGTCCATTTTCCGACTATCGTCACTTGGTAGAATCCAACGCAATGTCTCCTCCACGCGTCCTGCGTCTAATCGAAAGGAGGATTAATTTCAGCAATCCGAGCTTCCAACTGGCCAACGTGAGACCCCTGTGCCGCATTGATGTAGCAGCAGCCGCGTCTGACCACCACTTTCCCCAAGAGGATAGTATGACAGAGGGTTGCCAATAGTCTGCGGCTCTGAGCGACCTTACGTCGACCATAACAGCGAAACTATCATCGGCACCTTCTCCATCATTAATCCATCTGGCCACTATAGTGACATTACTCGAACCAGGGCTTGTTTCCTGACTCTTGCTAGCACCTTTTTGCCACTGTCGTGCTTGCAGTCATGACGGCGAAAAGCTGCGCTGAGTCAATCACGCCTCATCGACACGCGCACGCGCAGCGGAGAGATTGGTGTAGGCCCCTCCTTCTCGCTGTCCTTCTCTTGAGCCTCTGGACATGGAAACTTAGTGATTATCTCCACGCCCGCAATGCAATTCTCCATCCACACCGGGCCCCGTTCCCGGTCTTCACCGACTGGGACGACGTCCCGACCAGCGAGGAACTGCGCTGGGTGCGATGCATCTTGCCCGGCATGGCTCCCGCCGGCCGCGGCTACATGTGCGCCCGCCTGACCGTGCCGATGGATTACCAACGACCTCTGAATAAGTCCTCTGATAACCCCAAGGTCCACATCGCCATGGTCCTCCTTCCCGCCCTCGGCCACGGCTTGGAAACTGGCCGCTTCTCCGAGTCTCCGCTTCTCGTGAACCCCGGCGGACCAGGTGGGTCCGGAACCGCTTTCGTGCTCCCGCCGTACGGCCCCAACATCCAGTTGGCCGCTGGAGGCACACTCGATCTGATAGGCTTCGATCCCCGGGGCGTCGGGGCCACGACGCCCCGCGCCGACTGCTTCGTCGATACCGAGCCGGGCCATGAGTCCTCAACCAGGGCGAAGAACCTCGGCTACTTGCATCGGTTGACCTGGCTGGCGATGGGTCACGATGTCGGCCTGCTCAACACCACCGCCGCCGCTGAGGACCAGCTTATCCACAGGAACAAGGCGGCGTCCAAGTTGTGTTCCCTCAAGGACGGGGAAGCGGGCGGGTTCAGATACATGGCGACACCGAATGTGGCGGCCGACATGAAGGCCATCATCGAAGCCCACGACGCGTGGCTCAAGGATAACGGATTCGACACAATTCCGCTCAGCGCCGGTACGCTTACAAAAAGCGAAACGGCCCCTCCTTCTACCAGAGGCAAGCTCGTGTATTGGGGCTTCAGCTACGGCACATTCCTTGGCCAGACTTTTGCGGCCATGTATCGTATGTGGCCCTTTTCCTTCGCGTCCATCGGCACAGCTCGGAACAGATACGGCTGACATGGCTCTTGTATTACAGCTCAATTGGTGGGACGCTTTATTCTTGACGGTGTCGTTGAATCCGGTGCGTACGATGCCCCTGTAAGTTATTTTCCAGCGCCCCTATCCAAAACGCTGAAGCACGATGTGCTGACAGCACAAAAGACGTGGATCTCGGCCATCCAAGATGCAGACGCGGTGCTTGACAAGTTCTTCTACTTCTGCCATCTTGCCAAAACCGGCTGCGCTCTCTTCCGCGATGGCGATGACGGTCCAGCCCCCGTCAAGGAACGATATGAACAGGCCATGGCCAAGCTGCGGGACGAACCGATAACCGCCGTCTCTACCTTGGGGCACATGCCCGTCGTGCTGATGGAAGCCGACATCAAGAGAGTGCTCTTCGCCTCTCTGTACTCTCCCGTCAAGGCTTTCCCTCTTATGGCCAAGTTTTTAAACCGATTGTTCGTCGGAGACGACATCTCCGACTGGTTGATTGTGCCGGACTTCGGCTTCATTCGCGATCCCAACTTCAAGCTGCCGCTATACCCCGAAGAGAGCGTGTGGGCCGTCTTATGCAGCGACAGTCGGTACCGTGTAAGTGGTGACTATCACGCGTTCAAAAATGCAACACTGACAAGTAACCTGTCCTGCAGCGTAATGAGACTTGGGGGGAGACTTTCAACAAGGTGTCCAAATACAGCACTTCGGTCGCTGACGTCGTAAGTCTACTCCATCTCATATATAGCCATGAAGCTAACACAGCTTCAGTTCACGACCATCATGATGACCTGCGAAGGCTGGGAAATCGAAGCCAAGTTCCCCAGCCCCGACTGGGACGCAAATCTACAGAGCCCGGACCCGGTCAACACCTCCTTTCCGATCCTCTTCGCAGGCAACACCCACGATCCCGTCACACCTCTCTCTTCGGCAGTCAAAATGTCACGGAACTTTGCCAACGCCGCCGTCTTCGAGCTCGAGGCTGAGGGCCACTGCACCCTTGCTGCGGTCTCGCTCTGTGCCATTACGAAGATCCGTGACTACTTACAAAAAGGCATCGTCCCAACACGGTTGACTGTCGCCGCCGACGGCACTCTTTCGGGTTGGGAAAAGTGCAAGGCTGATGAGAGGCCTTGGAAACCCTTTCTGGGCGGACCCGGCGAGCTGGAGGGTGGCATGCGGGCGGAGGACCTACATGCCTTGCAGGGATTGAGAGACGTGCATGACAAGGTCGTCGGCAGCTTGACACCGCCTCTGAAGCTGCGTCTTGATTGATGAATCAAGCTCCACGATCCGCGATCCCGCATAGATCGCAATCCTGAATGCGGTTTTCTCGACATGGTGATCTCGCCGGCACTGGGCGAGCTTGTTCCATATTTTGCGGGGCGGGGACAACACTTCTGGCCAAGCTCTGTATGAATGGAATTTGGATGGTTCCACCTCGATAGAATGTACCAAGGAGATCGATATACCCTCCCGCGATCGAGAATGTTGTCAGCCAAGGTAACCAGCCGATCCCGATGTCTGTCAGGCCGAAAACCCAGTCTTGGACGTGGGGCATGAAAGAAGATGGAACCGACACGCTCCCCAGGGCGTTTTACCATCCACGACAAAGCCGTACCTGAGTAGCTGCTCTTGGTGCTGACATGTGTCTCTCAACTCGAGGCTTGACAAAGACATGCTGCTTCGATATTGACCGCCACCCCCTCCCCCTCTTCCCCTCGGCCCAACATCATTGTACACAACGCGAAGAGGTGATAGTAAACATGAGCCGCTAACGGCAATAGTAAGTCGAATCCAGATCGCACAGTTGACAGGTCGAGATTCCCGACAGGCCCGCTCTTACGCAGGAGCCTCAGTCCAGATCCATACCTGGGCGCGTTACGGCTAGACCGCCTGTGGACGAGCAAGGCGGTTTTCATTCTTCTGGCACGCGCGCGCACACACACACATACCCTCTCTCGTCACAACTGGCGAAACGATTCCGGTGCTTTTGTCCATGTTCCCACCTAGACCGCTCAATCGTAGGGTTGCGGCTGCTCCTGCGCGGGACCACTGCAAACGCCCGCGATGCGATCGCCGATGCCACTAGCCTGGCAGACGATTCTTGACATCTTGACGTTTCGGGATCCCTTTCCTGGTCTGAAGTAATATGTCTATGCTTACTCCGTTTGGGTCTACAATCTGATCGTGGCTATGGCGTGTGTGGCTTGGGCAGGACGGACAGGGCCAAACGGACTCTTACGAGCGCCGAGCCTGCGCGCCTCCAACCGAACTCGGGCATATGCTTTTTTTCCCTCGAGCTCCCAGTAACGTGACGATGCCAGGCAACCGCCGCCACCAAAATGACTAGTACTGCCAATGGTGGGCGATCTAAGATGGACTCGCACGCGTTTTAACCGCCCAATACGCCTCGTCCCAAAGCAACCGCATGCTTCTCTAGCTAGGCAAGTACACACAAGAAGCTACCCCTCATTCCAAGGGGATCGACGAGCGCCGAGCGGTGTGCCCCTCGACCGCCGCCCAGGCTTGTCTGAGACCAGATCGTTTCCCTATCCCCCTCCCCGCTCTCCCCCGAACGCCGAACGGACGTGCGGTCTTACCCACCGATGCGGTCGATGCCCAACTGTGGCATCGATCATCAGGGGCTGCGAGAATCGCTGCACGAGGAAAAGCTGGCAGGCGGGGGACCGCACCTGGCGTGCCTTAGCGTCCACGATCGATGCGTCGTTCCGTAGCTCAGCGTTGCTTTCTTTTTCATACCCGCGGTGCTACGTTGTCGGCACGTGTCAATGGGTTAGGCACATTCTTCAAATGCAAGAGCCCGCGTGTCCACGAGAGGGGTCAGAGGGGTAGGTATGTAGGCCAAGGGACCAGAAAGACACGGCGCGGGCGGCTTTGAGATACTTCATAGGATGTATCCTAGCTTGGGAGAAAGACAGCGAGTTGACATGACGCCAGAAGGTGAGAGAGGACCGTCAACAAACAGTAGCAGCCAGCATGCGAGCTTTGAGCTGTCAGCTCAACAAAAGCTTGACGACATAGTTCCAGAGCGGCGGAGGGTCCACTTGAGACTCCGAGGCTCAGTCCCTGACGACGCTAGGCCCCGCTGATTGACACTAGACCGACCCTAGCTTATTGAGTGGAATGCGGATATACGTGAGAACCGTGAATGTCTAGGAGTGAGCAATGCGTAATAGAGGGGTAGAAGAGGGGTAAATTGAGGTTCCTCAGGGTCCGCAATGGCTTCGCTGCCTGGCATGGGAGATGACCATGACCGACAATGGCATAACCGGCGTGTTTCGCCATGTCGTATGTCGTTGTGGTGACGTATTTTGCGTGGGATGACTTCGGTTTCGGGAGGTCAGACGGCAGACAGAGGGACGGTACGGGAAATCGGGAATGGGACAAATGTTGTGAAGGGGCACGAGATCAGGACCCGGAGTTGGCGAGGATCTGAACAAGTGGGTAAGGGATGTGGCGGGCCCAGCGAAAATACGCATGCTGTGATGCATGCATTTTGTCAACCGAATTTGAGACTGCACCACAGATTAGCCTGGGTCGCAGCAGACGGGAAGGTACTTGCTCTATGGGGAAAGGCATCAATGGTTTCCTCGCATCGTATTCGTCCGGCTGAGGGGCAAAGCCCGCGCCTCTGGAGCATCATGCGGAACGACCAGCGGAAGTTCCCCTGTTCTACAGGGCCTTCAGCCTCTTTGGCCCGGACGATAATGTCCGTCCCAGGCACGGGGCCGACTGTGTATGGAGAAAAGATCGATGCCAACCAAAAGACGAGATCTCGATGACATACAGTCGTCCGCATGCCTCCGAGCGGATTGGGAAACAATCATCCCCACCCATCGCTGCCGCATCCAAAGAGGCAGAGGCAGGCGGTGGTTCTCCCTCACCAAACGCTCTGGGCGGTCCAGAACGGTCCTTACTCACCAAAACACCGAGTTACCTAGCGATGGCGTCACCATGCAGGGGAATCTGCGAGGATGGGACGAATCAGCGACGCCGTGGCTGCTCCTTGACGTGTGGTCGGTTGAGCTTGTCAGTCTCTTCCCCCTTCGCCCTATCAAAGCTGCGTGCACGGCTAGGATCCTTTGCATCGGGTGGAATGTCCACTGTGGCTGCAAGCTTACTGGAGAGTATGCTGGCTTGACCTTTGAGTGAGCAATGTGAAGGCGCTTCGAATAATGGGACCTCGGATGCCAGAAGGGTGGGGGAAGCGGCGACGTGATCGCGATTTGCAAAAATGCCATCCTGCTGACTGCGGCATGTTTGGCTGGTTGGCTGGCCACCGTGGTGCAATCGACAGGCTGACGTATTCTCCCGGCCAGCATTACGCGACAAATACATAGCATGTGGCATGTCTTGCTGCAAACACCAACTGCAACTCTGCAGCTCCAGAAGCGGGGCACTTGGACCAGAGATGAACACCTACCTAGGTAGTAGGTAGCTATGTAGGTACCTAGACTAGATAGGGCAGGTAGACTACCTACACACGTAAACTACCTACCTACCTACCTACATTGAGTACTTCGGACAAGCCTCAGTTGACACGCGGGGACACTATGACGTTAGCGCATGTCTGTTCCTGTCTCATGCCCTAGTGACGTCATTAACTCAAAAGGGGAAAGACCTCCCCAGGCTGGAGCTCCGTTTTGTGGCTGGTGAGACTGCGTCCGACCCAGACGCAGCTTTGCACGGTGCCACCTTTTCGGTCGATTTTGATAGAGATCCCCGGTTGGCTCCTGGTCGAGGACCATGCAGTCCATCTCCAGTCTTCTCTGACTGGAGTAACTGCGAAGAAGCACCAGGCAGGCCCGTGGTCTATGACGCCATTCCTTGGGTTCACATGAGAGACCCTCAGCGCCCTTGCCCGATGGGGTGAAACTGCGCTACAGCCACGAGTGGACAAACCCGGTGGAGGGGCAGTCAGTACTCGTTACCGTTACGTTACTTGCGCAGGGAGAGGCACGCACGAGAGGCATTGGCTGTATTTGGGATACTGCAAACGAGGGGGAGGGGCAGGTGTTGGAGGGGCAAGCCCGAGGTACCTCTGCCCATTGTGCAAGGCGGCAAGCTACCTAGGTAATGTCCCACATGCCTACCCGCATCCAGTCTGGTTGTGAATGATTTCAGTCAAGGCCAGCGGGGCAACTTCCGCAAGGCAGGAAGGCACCACGCAAGAGGCAACCACTTGCTGCCTCTTTCATTCACGGGCGGCTTCAAAGTGCCTTCAATTTCTTATATAAACCTCCTCTTCCCACCACCTCTGTCATCCTTTCTTTTCTCCTCATCACACACTCAAACAAACAAACTCAATCAATCTTCCACTTCACACCAACCAACCAAACAAACAAACAACCACCCAACCATCAAAATGGATACCATCAAGAACGCCGCCAACTACGTCTCTGAGTCCGTCCAGAGCGCCGGTGCTACCGCTTCCAAGGAGGCCAACAAGAACGTCGCCAAGGACAGCGATGCTGGCATCATGAACCGGTAAGCTTCACTGCCACTTCTTTCCATGCCACCTCACTAACACGCTTCATAGTGCCTCCGCTGCCAAGGACGCCGTTGGCGACAAGGTCGACGAGTCCAAGCACGACGCCAAGGGCGAGGGCTACAAGCAGGCTGCCAAGAACTAAATCAATTCCATGATACCTCTATCTGGACTGGGTCAACGGAAAGGCGTTAGGAACGGATCGGGAACGGATCGGGACACGCAGTGAGGCATATCTAGGAATGATTAATTACCCTCACCTAGAATAGCCATAATGCCACTTCATTGCCAGTAAAACTTCTTCGTGACCTTTTTGATATTACATGGTTTCACTACCATTTACTAGATTTACTGTATCAATTCCTGTTTCTAGCATCAATCACCGATTGTGGTTGCTCGTTGTTCGATCTGCCACATCAGCATGTCGCACTATAATCTGCAAGTATCATCCTTGTCCAAGGCATGCCACATTTTTCCCCACACCGGGACCGCTCTCCGGCGCACGGATCGCCAACCCCAACGTCGCGAGATTCCAGTATTCCCGGTCGCCTGATGTTGGGGTGAAGCAATTGAGCCGCAATCTCCCACCACCACCTTTCATACCACCCTCTGTTTTGTTACGCCTTCATTCGAAATCGCCGCCACCATGTCGACCGCATCATCAACCCTCCCACCTGATCTGTTCGACCAAACGACCCTCGTCTCCCTTGGCGCCACGGTAGTTCTCCTGTCCATCGCCATCGCCGTCTCTCGTCGCGTGCTCCACCCAACAACTTCGACGAAATATCGCATCCTCTTCGTCTGGCACGCTTTTGATGCTCTTATTCACTTCTTCCTCGAGGGCAGCTTCCTCTACCACTGCTTCTTCTCATACATCCCGCTCGCCGAAATCTCCGACGCCGACCTAGGCCGATTTCACCCGACACCGGCCAACTTCCTGGGCCACTCAGACCGCATCTATGGCTCCCAGGCCGCCGGCGATAACCCCTTTGCCAATCTGTGGATGGTATATGCGAGGGCCGACAAGAGATGGGCCGGCGCGGACTTGGTAGGTTTTACTGCGTGACCAGGAGTGGGTTGAGACTGACGCGCAACACAGGGCGTGATCTCGCTGGAGCTTCTGACCGTGTTCGGCGCCGGGCCCCTGGCAGTGTGGATCTGCTACTGCATCGCCAAGCGCGACCCCAAGGTCAACATCTGGATGATCATCATCGCGACGGCGGAGCTCTACGGAGGTGAGTCGACGAGCGGGGTCTCGACCCTTTGACTGGGGGACCAGCACGACTGACGCTTTGGCCAGGCTTCATGACCTTCTGCCCTGAATGGCTGACCGGCAACATTTATCTCGACACTAGCAACTTCATGTATCTGTGGGTGTACCTGGTCTTCTTTAACATGTTGTGGGTCTTCATCCCCTTGTACGCCATCTATGTCGCATACGGGGAGATTTCGCACGCCTTCAAGGCCCGGGGCGCGAGAAAGAACCTTTGAGTAGGTTCCGCGGTGGCATCGTACGGGGCTTGTGAGGTGATTAGTGCAGGATACGCAATTGGGCATTCTGCAATGCTAGAGCCGCATCGTCACGCAACAAGCACGTTTGAGGCCTATGCTGGCTTGCATGACTTTGATAAGTGACACTTTCAGCTTGGTCACGATCAAATTAAAGAAGCCTGTGGGAACTTGGGCTGAGTCGGGCGCTGAGTTGTGGATTGAGCGCCAAAGTGATGTTGAGGAATGAGGAGCGTAACGGGTTAAGGGCACGTGTTGACACCATATGCGAGCAAATCCGCAAGCGATGGTCCAACTGCAAGGTACAGCGGATGCTCTTCTGAAATTGAGCAAATCAAACCCTATTAATCTTCCCTTTATCATGAGTTGAATGTGATCACGAGACATTTGCAGACGGGCACGGCTCTTTGGCATAGGCAGCTGATGGATGTTGAACCTCAGTCCGAAAAAAGCCCTTGGTGGCTTACGAATGGCGACACGTCTGTGCTTGAAGGAGGTCTGTAGACCAGCTTTAACTTATATATGCCCATCTAAATCTTACACTGCTCTCTACAATGCCAGCGCGGACCTCATTGTTAGGGGCGCGCACCTCCATTCTCCCATTTATGTTTACTACTTAACTCTCCTCACCCTCAGACTGGATGCCAGAACATGATTTGACCATACCAAGCCCAAGCAAGGCGACAGCACGACTGCTAATCGTTCCAGGACGGATTTTAGACAAAGAATACTGTGCTTCAACTAGAAAGACATTGGAAAGTTGCAGCGGAAGGCCTTGTGACTGGCCACTCTGCATGTTTGCCCCCTGATCTGAAGCATCGACTGGCCCGAGAAGGCATCACGGGAGAAAGGCCACACGCGCAAGGGCTTCCAGGCATGTTGTTCTCGTGTCGGTCCGAGCAAAGATTTCAGCGTCTAGCACCACCACTCCCTTCAATGCCACGGTATCCAATCTCCCGTTCGCTTCCGGACTAGAGCTAGAGGGCTCAGTCACCACTTTCATCCTACTTGACAGCTATATCCGAGCTCGATTGGAAAGTCGGATAAGCTGGAGCTTGCAGTCGGATTGCATCTGTCCCGGGATGATTCGCGCCTCAGACTCGCGAGTTGGTGAAACGTTTAACGCGGCCCCGTCATTCCCAGAGAGAGAGAGAGAGAGAGAGAGGGCAGTACTATGCCGAGGCGAAGAAATCACAGCAGTCCAAGCCCGAGTGCTCCTTGGATACCTACTTCTCGCATTGTCCGTATGCCTCCATTTACATGGCTTCTTTTCCCTTCGAAGGACGTTGCCTGCTATTCCGGCGCTTCTGCTTCCTGCTCCTTCCTAGACGAACATGTACCTGCCGTCAATATTCTGAGAAGCTTCTACCCGTTTCGATTATGGACGAACGCTACCTGCCGTTCCGGTGCACCTGCCTTCTGTTCATTACAGTCTCGGTGCCCCGTGGTCTTGTGAGATATCAATCAATGGTATTGGGGCCAGGTTGAGTTCATTGATTCAGCATCACGGGTACCCCACCACGCGGTTACCAAGATACACCGCCAGTCAATACGAAACTTGGGTAAGGTGCTCTGAGAAACTAAACTGGCAGTGTTCTTTTGGAACCCGCGTGCTTACTAACCCTCCATATGGTGCACTTCGGTGTCGGAGGGCGGCTAGACGGTCCACCAGTTGATGATCATCGTAAGAGTCATACCTGTCACTCTGGCTTTGTGAGGACTGATACATTTTCCCACACAATTGACCAGATCATGTGCCCGGTGATATGAAACTCCGTAGGAAGTGATACCCCCGTGCAAGTGTAGGCTTATTATCTTCTAATGGACATTCAAGTGAAGCCAGATGAATGACCTGTTATCTCACGTGTGAAGAGCTCATCATCGTCGGTCATGATGTTGTTTTCCTGTCCTGTACCGTCCGATGACAGACGCTGACAGGCACAGATCCTTGGGTCCCAGTATGTCATGGGAGGGGACAGAAGTTTTCTGGAGAGGGAAGAAAAAGTGACCTGGAAGGAAAGAAGGGAGCAACGCACCTTGTAATGTCGGATCATCCCGCGAAAAGGTTCATTGACTCTGTGCATCACGATTTACCCGCCTAGTGTGATACAATTGATTGATTGTGTGTGAGAGAAGAATTTCTTGTTGGTTTATATTGATTGCTGGTGTGATTGTTAGGGTCTCCAGAAGGGTCCCGTACAAAATAGAAAAAGGTGCTCTTAACCTATATGGTTAATGATTAAAATCAAACTTTGACTGTCAACTGCGGTCTACAAACGTGACCTTGAGGCTAGACAGTCGACACCCTGAAGCCAGACGTTAGACGGGTGAAAAAGTAAGGTCCAGACCGTAGGTTGACCTTTCAGTTGGTTGCCTTGACGGATAGGGTATGGTCTAGATGGAAACGAGATTTTACTACCATCTATCAACATCAGGTAGTATCACCTAGGCATATGCCTAACATAACGTAGACAGGCAGAGCATCCAAAAGACAAGTTGGGGAGAATCACCCTATGTTGTATCGTGGCCAGAATTCGACAGTACTTTGGGTTAGTCTGGCACGAAGAAGCGATTTTGATCAGGCAGTTATCAAGGTGCAGATGAGATCAAAGATTCTTTTCCAGCTGCGAGCCCAGTCAAATGGGTTGAGGAGGACTCATGTGTCTCCATGATGCTAGGCTTTTATATGGAAATCTCCTATTTTGGGTTCTGTACCAGGCGTGATACCTCTACTGTGCTTTCCTACAGTGATTTTCATCATGTATCTGTTGCTACCCTATGAGGAACCGCCTTGGCCACGTATACTAGAACTCTCACCAGCTGGTCGCTGACATACTATGGTATGATGGGTAAGTTTAAACTCCATAACAGGTAGTGTGGAGTTGTGACCCACGTATGAGAGACTCTCACTGGCCAGAATTATGATAGATGTGCACAAGAACCTCAAAGTACGGAGGTGCGCGTCAAAAGTCATGATCCATAGTGCCAAGACCACCCCCTGACCACCCGACCCACTTTATATATTTCTAGCCAATCAGAGCAATAGGATTCATCCGCTTTCCCAGGGCCCTTACAAGAGTAATTTCACCACAACAACCATCATAACAACTATTATAATAATAACTATCATAACTATCTATTATAACTACTTTATACTACTATTATAGCCTGCGTTAACCCCTACTTATAGGCATTAATTCTTACCCTTTAAAGCTATATTAGTAGTAAATTAGCTAATAAGGTTATAGAGGCTCTTAATATACCTAAAGTTACAGTTAATAAGATTCTTATATACGTAAAAAAGCACAGCTTTAACCCCTCTGCTCCTACCTTCTCTATCCTTCCTAAATACGTTAAAGATACCCCTTAAGCCGGCTAGCTAAAGAAAGTAACACCTATAGTAAAAAAGCTTATTATTAAAAAGGTTTACTATAACTAATATAGTAGGGAAAAAACGTATACTAATATAGCTAGTAAGCTATAAAAAGAGCTTAATATAGATATTTTAGCCTTAACAGTCTACTAAATCCTCTAGTAATATAGGTTTAAAAAGTCTAAACTAATAAGGAAGCCTAGCTTAATAGCTTAAATAAAGTAAGAGAGGCTTTCTTAATATCTAGTATATTACTACTAGTTACTTAAAGATTAAAAGAAGGTTATCTAGTCTAATAAAATATTAGTAGTCTTAAGCTATTACTATAGTAGCTACTATTTATAGTAATAAGTATATAAGGCCTATATAAAGTTATATATCTATACTTAATAAAAAGGTTACTTTAAGTTTATATTTTAAGGTTACTTTATGTATAATAAGAAAAGCCCTTCTTACTACTAGTTACTTAAGTTAGCTATAATATAGCAAGAAGCTACTACTAAGGTTAAAAAGTTAAATAAGGATCTAGAGCTAGTTAAGCGCCTTAAATAGGAACTAAAGAAAAGAATAGCCTAGCTATAGCTCTAATAGCTCCCTAGCTATAAACTAACTTTTTACTAGAACGCCTATACTAGTAAGTTAGTCTATAAGGGTAATAAAGGAATTAACTAGTACTGTTACTATAAGAAAATCCTCTTACCTAAGCTTTTCTTATTTATTACTAATAAGTACCTACCTAGCACTATTATTTAAGAGGATAAAGCACCTTCCTATAATTACTACTATATTTACTATATATACACTACCTATAATATCTAAAAGCTCGTCTAGTGTAGTAATAGCCCTAATCTTAACCCTATTAAGCCCTATTAGCTATAAATAAAGTAATTTATAACAAGAAAAGGCGCCCTAACTAACCAGGCTATAGCTAAACAAGCGTAGCAAGAGTGCTAGCAGGCATTACCATAAAAGAAAATCTAGGCATAGATAGAACAGATACTAGCCTATATTAAGGCTATTATTACCCTTAACAGTAGTAATAAGTATAAGGAAGGCCAGCATGCTAGTAAGTATTACTTATAGGTTAAATACAGTAAATAAATCCTATTAGTAGCGACTAGTAATCATTAATAGCAACCAAATAACTCACTTAGCCGTAATATAAAATAGTAGCTATAATTCACTATAGAGGGCACCCTTGTAATTACCCCTGTTAATTAACAGGGGGTGGTCTTGGCACTATGGATCATGACTTTTGACGCGCACCTCCGTACCGTCGCTGAAATAATCAAAAAAGCACGGCCACATTTACCTGACGAGGGGGCTAAACTTTGGCCTGATACCATAGTATACTACGTGGCATCCCAGTAGTAGGTACCTCAAGCTAGCCCAATTCGGCTCAAGAACTGGCATTCCCCCCCGGAAGAAATAAACATATAGACAGACCTGGTCTCATAAAAACATGACTTCCGGTCCAAAGAAAGCTTGAGTGACGCTGCTCGAAGCGCTGGCTGTTTCTCCAAGACAATGTAGGTGTGGTTCTCACCAAGTAGGTGAAGCACGTCGACGATGCTACGCAATGATAGCTGAGCTTACTGGCCTGAGCCAT